GGTCTGTTCCAAAACTTCAAAGAGCTCTTTAATAGGATCCGGTAATACGGGTAATGTGGGCTTGGTGGCGGAAGGCCACTTTGGGGAATTTCGAGATTACTAAATTTAATTTAATATTCCGCCCAGAACAATCTCAACATTATGGTCTACAAAAAGGCTTTTCCAGCAAAATAGGCATTCTCTACCCTCAGAAATCCCAGCCGCTGCCAATATTTAAGTTCTTTTGTATCCTATCCAAACTTTTCTTGCATTACAAATGAGGATTATCCGCCGTTTTTTCGTCTATAACTGTTCACTTTCGCTGAAACCCCGCCTCTTTCACACCCTGACATCGGATTCAGCTGCTTTGAGCTTCAGAGTGATGGTAGTTTTATCCCCCTCTTGAATCGTTCCTTTTTCCTCTTCATTTCTTCTAATTGACTAGATATTCTGTTTATGTGGACCGCTACTATTGGAGGAGGCAAAACTTTTTATATTTCCCGAATTTCAAGCTCATTAAATGATTTCTTACATCTATTTTCAACAGTAGTTTCAATTTTGCTTCTTATTTTTGCTATTGCGCCGTCCGCTATCCATTTCCCGCGNATGGGGGCCCCTCCCGTCGACGTTGCTCGACGTTGCCTTTCCTTGCCAATTGCTGATGTGAAGGAGAAAAGGAAGACAGGAAGTGTGCGAGGCAGGGATTGTTTCTAGTTTTCTGTGTTGCAGAGACTTTAAATCCAATCAGGGAGCTCGATTGTAAGGATGGAACTTTAATGTCTTAGGCGGTATCAACTGAGGATGTCAAGGTGCCATTACTCTTTGTCCTAATGAAGTACTGAATACTGACTCCCATGTAATGGAGTGAGCTAAGGATAGTTAGCTCGATTGGCTTTATCCTTATCAGTTCAAAGTCCAGTCATGCCTGCTTATTGAAGGCATGAGCCAGAGATTTCAATTGAGGTGAATTTTAACCAGGGATTGAACGGTAGCGGCTCAGAATTTTCCAGATTTGATCGCGACGTTTTGTCCTTAGTTCAAATACGCCAGTAGTGTGCTGTCTAGGTGCTTGTACCAGGGACTCGGAAGCATGGTCCACTCTTCTGCGAATTAGTCGGCAAGAATTCGAAGACTATCAAAGGTCTGAGATGGTTCATTGTCAATTCTCTACGCTGCCGTGCTAATGGCTCAGTGATCAATTCCTGCCAGATCGTACAAACTTCCTTTTCTTCAGCTTTGCTCTCTTCATTGTGCAGTCGTTCAGCCTGCGTTGTAAGGACCAAAATCAATTCCATTCTGTTATCGAGATTTTGAGTGAATGTTGGATAAGCAGCGCAACCTGGAATGAAACGGCCTGACGTAAAACACATTGTCCTTGAAAGTCATTTACTCTACTCTTAAGGAAAGCCGCTAACAACACTAATCAGTGGCTGAGAACGGATGACCGAAGAGTTCATTTGCCCTTCTAAGGCGAAATGAATCAGCTGTTATTAGATTACATCATTGTCTTACAAAGATTGTATTTTGTCTTCCGTTGTCACATAATCAAAGAAAATCGGTCTTATACACCCCCATAGATGAACTTTTTTCTCGTTATCGCCAATTGTGGTCAGTGTTATTCAATTTGAGTCATTGAATTGAATCATACAGACAGTATTCACCACCAAACGAGTGACCTTGTGGCTCGGGATACATCTGGTGCATTTTTACGTTGATTGAAATGTTTCAGGACAGACTGTACCCCTTTTTCACAGAGATCTGGAGCTTGGAGTTTTAGTTGTCTCTACCGTACTATCTCTTGTTTGCTGGTTTATGCCCACCGGACCCTTTCATCGGTATGGTACGGTGCGCTACGGGACATTCCAAACCGAATACGGTTCACCTCCATGTCCGATCATGGGTAACGAATTGGCACTACTTCACTTATTCTGGTACACACTCCTGTGATACAGTATATTTTGTGTTGACTAATGTGGAACGCTATTCATTCCGTAGATTGTTTCAATACGATTTCCAAAGATCTATGGGGCTTTATTTTGGTCATGTATACCGATTGAACTGAGCGCATACTCTGTTCCGTTCCATTTCATGGAGTGTACCTGTAGATTATGGTTGCCTGCACACTGCTCAGATGTACAGGATTTTATTTCGATTACGGTATCGATCTATCCCTTGTTTATTCGCTTATTTGCCTTGCAGGTACTTAGTCCATCAAGTAGATGTTCGCATGCCATAAACCATGTGCCGCCTTAAGTTTTATGGAGTATTTCCGCTAGCGCTCGCTTCCGTAGAGATATGGGGCTTTATTCCGGTAGTGGATTCCGAAGTGATCCTTGTTCGCTTACTTCTACTCCCGCACACCTTGATATGACTATTCCATTTCCTATTCGAAGAACTGGCACTGCTGTGGATTTCATAGTCTCTGGGTTGTGGAGGTTTATTCCGTTCATGACTACCAATTCAGCTCCATTCAATGGCTTCGACCACTACAGGTCCTCATGCATCCCGTAGGTTTTCACGTGGACTAAGGAGGCATTCATTTCCATGGAGCGCTTTCACAGTGTGTACTTTCTTCTATGTTCTCTTCTTCTTTCTTCTTCTAGGGTCTTTATTTCGGTTGTGGTCATCTTGATGGTCCCTTTCCGCCTCATTGTCTATTCTTGTAGTCCTTTGATATGTCTAGTGCATTTTTTCGTCAAAAACCCGTCCCGAGCCACCGTCAATTTTATGAAAGTTTTCGTTTGATACTACTTATGCGGGCCCACTCCGACTGTGATTACTGTAGTGATCCTCGTTTATTTGCCATTTCATCGCTTTTGAACATGGAATTC